CAGAAGGCTTCAGGTCGTCAGAAGGCTTCAGGTCTTCAAGGCTTCAGTTCGTCAGCAGGGCTTCAAGGCTTCATGTCTTCAGAGGAAAGTCACCCGGGATTGCCAACACACTGGACCCTCCCTTGCCACGACGAGTGCGACTTGCCACTGACAGGGAACATCCGAGACATGGGTACATGATCCGAAGAACCTACAGAGAGAAAAGGGACATAGAATAGAATCAACATCAGCAACTGACAGTGGCTCTCGCCACTGGTTCGAGACACATTGACATGTTTTTTGGTTTGATAAGAAGATGCTAGCTTGCCCCGCTGTATATTCGCTGTATATTCGGTTTCATCAGGGCATACGCCCTGCCCTAGAATCTGACTTCTTGGAATCATTGGCTTTCTCAGCCAACCTTCTGAATCTGGACTGGGCCTCCTTCGGACCTCCAAGGGACACTGAAATCAACCGCCGGCGCCGCTGGCACCGCTACCCCCGGCATCCCTAGGCTCCTGTGCCTGCGACGCTGGGTGGGTGGGCGCACGCTGCGAGCGCCAGGCGGGGTAGGCCCAGTTGGAGAGAGGCTAAGCCCTTGGACCTGACTGGAGTTGGTCATACAAGACAATGACACACCCAGACACTGGTCAGGTGGTCAGGGACAGGGGCTTCAAGGACAGAAGATGATAGAAGAATAGTGCTGGTTGCTAATTGTTTTGAACAAATCTGGAGTTGAGGATGACATATTTCTCTTTCCGATTTCCCGTAAACAAGGTGCCAACCCCAGCATATCCTTCAGTGAACATTCATTGAACAGGATCATTCCAGACAATTCACCTCAATACCCACTTAATAGGTTCAGCACATTTCAGCTAACCACCTCTCAATCTCAGCAGACATCACGGTGTTTTGAGTGTGCAGTATCCATACAATACCCACCAGAAGCCAACGCTTGCAGAGCAGGGCTCGATCAACTCAGGCAGCGCCGGATGTCGCCCTGGCAAAACCGCAGAAGCATGCGGTGAACTCAGATCCTTTTTTCCCCATTTCAAAGCACGGGACACTCGTTTCGCCCTCGTGTGGGCTCCAGAGAGCCATTTGGACACCCCGGGAGGCTGCAGAGAAGCATTTGGACACCCCTGGAGGCACGAGGGCCTTATCTACCAAGGTGAATGGTCTGGTTGGGAAGGGACTCCTTGGGATCTGAAACATGCAAGTGTTAGGACCCACACTTGTATGCCATTTTGGCTCAAGTGGGGTCCAAGGGATTCTTTTCTTTGGCCATGCCACCCATTGCGGTCTCCACTCTTTCGCAGTGGGAGGTGGGCGCGCGACGGTGGCGGCGCAACCACCGTGGCCAGGATCCTTTGGAAATTGGGGTCGAGAGTCGACTGAGTTCACTCTCGGCCAGATCGGCCTTCGTCGCCGCTCAGTGGGAGCGTGTGGATCGCCGGCCGGACGTGCCGGCAGACTTCTGCCGCGCTTGCGGCTGCTGGACTTCAGGGTGGTGCGAAGGGTGCTATCTTCGAGCTCCACTCGAGTTCTCCGCCCTTTGCCAGGT